TGTGTATATATATATATTTTTTTTTTTTTTTTTTACATGGTGAAGTATGTTTCTCTTTGAACTTTCTATGTGCAGATGACTGCTGGGATAGTCTTGCACAGTTGCATACCAAGTTTGAAAAGTTCAGAGACTTCTTTAAGCTCTGAAATCCTACAACTCATGTTGACTTGGTAAACAAACTTGATGTATTCATATAAATTTTAGTCTGATTAATGTTAACTACATTTCCAGTATACAATATTTTTAAATCTTGATGTAGTATTTTGCAGCAAACTATGTATTACTTATTTCATCTGTGCTTTTCCGAGCTCGCTTTTGTTAATGTCTGGCAGATATACCTGAAGAGATAAATACCTCTGCATCTTTTCAGTGTGGAGAAGGTGGGAGTAGTTGCATATTTCTATAAAAATGGTTAAAAAATTTTTTTAGCATGCTAATGGGAAGAAACCTGTGCATTGGCTTGATATTGCAGGCAAAGTTAGGGGATTAGCTTAAATTTAGTCCATATCCAGGTATACTATTTTTGCAATATTTTGAATTACTGAGGTTCCCATTTTTTAGTTCATGTTTCATATGTTTGCTCCTTGCCATCTTTTCAGAGAATGCCAAAAAATCGTGTCTGCACAATAAAGAAGAGAGAAAATAAACTTAATTTTTTCAGTTACTAATCGGTAAAACTTAGCACTGTAGAAGAGTTGTGATTCCCATATTGTTATGTTTGAGTGGCCAGAACTTTCCACCTTCAGTCTGGAGGAACTTCAAAAAATAATTTTCCAAACTTTGGAAAAGGCTCATATTTCTTTTGATCTTCATGTATAAACATGGTTCTGTCAGACTTCAGTATTTCGAAGAATCATTCTATATGAATAATTCATTTTCTCCTCCTTTTCCTCCCTACACTGCAGATGCCTTATGATTAGTAATTTCTAGGAACAAGATTATGTGATGTAAGGGTAATAGCAGACTTTGCAGACCAACTGGTTTATTTTCATAAGATGTCTCTTGCCATGATATTGAATAGGAGTAAATGAACAGGAGGACTTACTGTAATCTTTCTGTGTTTTGCACAGAAAGTCATTTTAACAAATTGGGTCTCCGAAGGTCCTCCAACTAAATCAGTGGATTTATAGCTTGTTTCTGCTGCTAGTTACGGAAAAGCTTATTCCTGTCCACTAGACCAAAACTATTCTTTTTGAGACTTCTGGGATCTCCAGCTTAAGTATGCGCTAGACTACTGGGGGTTCATTATTTGGCTACTTTCCTCCAAGCCTGGTGTGGTGTGAATGTGGATTTTGTAACAGTGACTCCACAGAGCTGCCGAGTCCAATAGTGTTTAGTAATTATCCCAGCCTGTAGCTTGGTTCAACTTCTGAACACAGAAATTGAAGTGGGGGACAGCTTGGTTATTTTATTCTACTGAGAACTTCATAGTTCACGTAGGTAATTTTTTAAAGTAATTCAGTTTCTAGACAGAAGAAAATTTTTCTCAGAATGGCAGAAATGAAGATTATTTAGTCTGTGGGAGTAACTATTCCTAAAAATATATGAATTGATTTTGAGTTCTAACAACCAAAACCAGAACAAAATTGAACTTCTGTCCCTATATATCATTTCATCAAAGGCACTTAACTGTTTCCCTCTCCATCATTGCTATTGAGCTGGACGAGAGAAGAGATTGGAAGAGCAGCATTGCACTCTTTAGAGAGTGAGATTTCCTGCATGGAATTGGCTCTGATTTTAGTATTACCACAGAAGGTCATGTCCATAGTGATTTTTGAACCAACGTATTTTACCTGGTCGTGAATGAAGAGCATGTCTGCTGTTGGGTAAATGGATCTGTTGACATGTGCCAATGTGTTAGATTTTAATAACCTGTTCTAGTGCAGTCTCCACTCACAAAATTATTCCTCTTTTGAACTCTTTACTACACTACTTCATTTTAGTAAAAGTATCTCTTAATGCTTATTTTTTTCTAGGAACAGAATAATGCACTGCAAAATATGTGCAAGAAAATGAAAGATGTGGAGGTGGAACACAATGGCTGTACTGAGCTGCTGAGGCGCCAGGCCACTGAGCTTGAATACAGTGCTGAACGAGAGGAGCGACTTAAAAAAGAACTTGAAGTAAGGCTTTTTGACCATTGCTATTAGTCTCAACAAGTGCTGACACACTGAGCAATTTAATTTTTGAGGGATAGAACCTCCCAGTTAGGCTGTGAATTCTATGTACTAGACTAACAAAACGTTGAACATTGTTTTGCAGAGAAGACTGAACAGGAGAAAGCCACTGTGTGTGGTCTGTTACACAGACTTGAGACTGGTGTTTGAACAGCAGATGGGAAAAAGTTTATGTAAGCATGAAAACAAGGCTAACTTTAGGAAATCTGTACTCTTAATTTGTCTAGCTTCCTATCTTCTTGGCTTAAGAACAGATTTTGAGAACCAGTGAATTTGTGATGGAGAATCAACTGGAGCTGAGAAAGTCACCAGATGTTGTGCTAGGTAGAGAGAACAGCATACTGGAAGATCACAGTGGTGTTATGGCAGCTTCTTCCTATCTAGACTTAAATGCTACAGATAGTTTTAGTTCTGTTGAGTGACTCCCATTGCTGAGAAGTCTCAAGTCTTTAATAGCTTGTAAATGAGCGCTGTTTACTGAACTGCTAGTTCTCGCCTAAGTTGCAACGTTTTGTTTGTCCACTGATAGGCTTTGAAGTAACTGTGTTATCTGTATGTACAGTCTGGACCAAGACTTTCTTGGTAGAACATTTGTCACTGCAGAAAAGCATAGTGAGTGGATGATTCTTTATCCTGATGTAAGTTTTCTACCAAAGGCATCTTTAAATATTTCTGCAAGGAATTTTAAAGAGTTGGCACTTGCAGGTTATAAGGAGCCCTTAAAGGAATAAGTGACACACAGTTTTCAGCTGTGTTTGTTCTGTGTTATTTTTCCCTTAAAGGCAAAAGAAGTGTTTAAAGCATTGATTGCTAGGTAGGTAGAGCCCTGCATTAAAGGTGAAGTAAAAAAGAAAATTCCTGCAGGATAGATCAAAGCTCATCAGCTAAAAACTCTGACTTATTGACCCACATGGTAGACTTCTGCACCCTAAAAGAGAACTACGGGAAATCAATAATTGTCAGGTACTGTGAGCTCCACATATTGGCCAAGGCAGAATTACCTTCAGTTGCAAAGTGCTGCGTACTGTTAAGTTCCAATAGCCCTTCTAAAAACAAAGATTTTTGCTTCCAAGTACTTGAACAAGGGCTTTTTTTGTGACTTCATGGCTTTTAATATATTAACACAGGAATCATGAGCTGAAAGGAGGAGGAGCAAAGCAGCAAGTTATTTACCTTTCCAAGTACTTTGATGGAGTCTACTCACTGTCTGTAAATTTGAAAAGGAAGAACTCAGTTCCTTGAAAATGTGTAACTGATGTGCCCTGGAGAGGGTTTTATCAGGGAATGCTATCTGTTAACCACAATCAGCTGAGATATTTTCATTGCTGCTTAATTTTTATTAAATTATTTTAACTTACTGAATCTCTTAATAATGTGAGAAAAAACATTCAGACTACAGGAAAATCAGTCTTGTGCTACTTGTTGTAAGTGTAGCTATTTAAGCTGTGATTAAAGAAAGTATGTGATGAAACCTCTTGCATTTGAAAGTTTAAGCAAATTAGCACAAGTCTGAATTAAAAAAAGTCTTAAGACTGCAATGCAAATGCTTTAGTCAGTTTGCATCTCACTTTACCATCTCAAAAGTAAATTGCATGTGTGTATGTCTGAAAGGGCCTACTATACTTGGAAGTCAAAGCAAGATTAACTAATGAGCATCTCTGAAAATACCTTTTAAGAAGCAGAAGCACTAGATATTTTAAGCTTCCAATATTGATTACTGTAGACAGTACAGATTACTGTTGACTTTGTACTGGGTACTGGACTCAAACTCCAGAGTTTGTGACGAAGCGTCATCTGCATCTTACAAAGTACCAGTACTCTGCATCACCTTTGTGGAGCAAAATTTGTTCTGCCTCTTCTGTGGTCATGAAAGGCTGCAGGCGTTCTGAAGTTAAAAATTCAGGTTAATAAAATCTATTTTAAGTTGCTTTCACACCCACAATCCTCTCCCCCCCAACATATATACTAAGGAAGAGTTTAGTATTAACAGAGTGTGAAGTCTGATTGCAGCCCTTCTTTGATTTATAATTTTGTCATTCCTCCTCTTCCCTTCTGGAGCTCAATCAGGCAGAGTATTATCTGTCCATGCTGAAACAGAGTGCAAAGACCTCAGCCAAAGGGATCAGATAAGCTGCTCTTCACCTCTATAGCTCAGTTACTGGAACTTTTGGTCTTGGATGTTGTAAGGGAAGGAAGTGGGGGAGTGTGCAAGGACGGACTTGTGCGTAAAGGAAGGGAAATGAGCACAATCAACCCTTCTAATTGTGTTTGAAAGGATGGACAATGCCCTTTTAAAAGAGCATGCTGCATTCCCAAGTAGAAGGAAGTGCTTCTGTGAAGCCTGGAGGTTGTTGGGATTTAAACACATTGCTGTCAGTAGAATTTCTTCCTCTCTGCCTTTAACAGCTGCCTCACTAGCACACTAGCTTTTGTGGATCACATTCTTAGTTGCCAAATTCTTCCCATGTGTTGTGGAAGAGGCATTAAAGAAGGGCACTGAAGCCTGGGCAGTAGTTTTCACAGTGTGCCAAAGTCTCCTTGTGTTTCTGCCCATCTGGTATTACTCTCACATCATTCTGTGGTGTTCTAGCTGTCAACTTAAAACTCTTCAGTGTATGGAAATATTACCCATGTTAGAAATATGGATAAAGTTCTGATAACCAGTCCGTACTTCCAGCTGTGGTTAAATACAACTCTCATTTTTGCCTATGATGTCAGTATTTGAGATGGATTTTCATTCAGATATAGAAGCCTTAAAGTAGTACACCCCAGGCAGAATGGTCTACATTTTTTCATGAAATAACCCTATATTTCTTTATCTCTCCGTGGAATTTTTAGCTTATGGATTGAGGTTTGGTTTTTGTTGGAAGATGGATGCAGGAGACATCATATTTCAATTACTATGCACAGTACCTTGTGTCAATGGGCATTTAGTTAGCAAACGCATATTTAAGTTCTTGATGATGGCACTGAACTTCTTAAAGTGATTTATGTGAAGAGTAGTGTCATTCTAATTAAAAGACAATCTTATAATCTTCTGTTATACACTACTAATATGCAATGAGGATGAAGTTTTTTTGGAGTTCACAAAGCTGTTCCTTTACTACCCTCTGCTGGACATAAGGGAAGAGTCCATGGGAAAATACTTATGTTTCAGTAATGAAAGGAAATGATAAATTTAGAATCTTTTTCTTTTTGTATGATGGCGCTCTTATGAAGAATTATATCTAATAGAAGACTATATTAAAAAGAAAAGAAAGTGAAAAAGTCTATCCCCCCCCCTTTTTTTTTTAATATTCATCATCTTTTATCCTTCAATCATTATTCTGAATATGGTCTAAAAGAGGACATTTCTAGTTCCTGGGCTTAGAAATTAAGAGAAAGAATAATGGCAAGTTTCTGTGGACTCTTCAGTTGAAGGATAGCTTTTGGCATGCTGTCTAGTCTGCTAGCTTTCTAGTTTGCGGTGATACTAGTGTGGTGTACCACTGCAACAACATTGAGTCCTTCTGAAGCGGAACACATACTGTACCAGAAAAATTTAGATTGGGAACCCTATTACCATTCTGCATCTTTAGCCTAAGATTCGGTAGTCAAACAACTTCTTGATATTTTGGTATTGAAGTCACCAACATACTACTATTGATAATAAGTTTCCTGGAACCAAGTGTCTTTAGCCTTTAGCTCCATTGCTCTGGAAAGATTATTTATTGGGAAATATAGAGCAATTTGTGTATAAAAATAGTGTTTTTTGAGATGCGTATAGCTGCCAAAAAGCTGGGTGGGAAAGCTGTTTAACAAAGAGTGGAAGAAAGGGGTATCTGGATTTTACCATGAGAAGCAGAATTATTAGTTTATAAATTTCAAACTCTTTGTCTTGTTCACAGAAATGTAGTGATTTTTCTATTGTTTGTTTTATGTGTTTGAGGCTGCCAACTCTTAGTAAGCTGGAGCTCAAGGTCTCTCAAAGTTTTTAAGCCTTTCTCATGAGGCCTGAAAAATGTCCTATAACTTGGTCCATTTTATTTCTGAGACTGAGTATATTGCCATATTTCTGAGACTTTGAGTAACCATTCAAAGATTTAGCTTTTATGTTACCTTTACTGCTCGCCGCCTGTAAAGTACATTGACCTTTTCATGTCCTGCTAAATGTGTCGTCTTGTATTAGCTTGGTAATGCTGCTGTGATGGGGAGGTGGCTGCAAAGAATACCTGAGTGATGGTCCACCTCTGTATTTGCAGAAGGTATATGTACCTGCAATTGTTGAATGCTGTAGGTGTATTAAATTTCTTACTGTATCAAAGTCAGTGAAACATGAAAATTAGGTCCCAGCTAAAAAGAAAACAGACCCACCCAAACCCACTGACCGGCTTTTTTTTTTTTTATCCTTGTTCTTATTAATTTTACTGTGAACTGCAGTGTTGGATAAGTTACAGTTCTCATAAGAAAGACTTAATAAAGCTCCAAGCAGTGTGAGAGAGGACACATTCTTCATCCAGTTAACAGTGCTACTGCTTAAACTTTAAACTACTTTTTGTTTTCTATGACTACACACTTCTTGATGGCTTAGCCCTACTTAATCCTGTTTTCTAGTGTCTCCACAATGCAGAACTGCCATCTAGAATTCTAGCTACTGTCTTGTATATCCTCTAAGCACTGCAGTTTTTGTATTGGTATCTCTGTAGTGGCTCTAAAATTCATGTTTCTTCAGTGACAGGCTCACTGACATAATGGACTTCCTCTCTGAGAAGAGCTGCTTCTTTATTATCTCCTATGTCATCATGTTATTCAGGTTCACTCTTACATCACTATCAGACTGAAGTTGTTTGAATACTGTCTGACATAGCCCTCACCAGGAGTTAGTAACAAGTCACATTTTAGTCTTGTCTATGTGCATGTATGAAGTAACAGTAGCAGTTCATGTACTGTTAAGGGATTTACCAGTT